AATACTGTAAATGGCAATAGTCTTGGTATGCCAGAGTGTAAGCAAGTAACGTAACATAACCAAAAACATAAAATATCACTTCTGCAAATTGTCGAGTTTCTCACGAATATGACGTCACTATAGCATACTTATAGTATATTATTAACGGTTAAACAGTTTTCATTTACATGATGATGACATTCTCTAGTCTAGTTTTGTCTATTTTCGGTCACAGTAAAGGGTCTTAAGGGTCCGTAGTTAAGTATTTTAAGTCAGGTCTTTAGGCAGCGCGGGTTAGTGGACCGATATTCATAATATGAGGCATTTTGTACGTTGATATTCATTCAAATAATACGGTAGATATGTAGATGCAACTTTTGAAAAGTATTTTGAAGAAATTACGGGCACATGGGGCTTATCAACTTATGTCTCAGGGTGATGGGCGCAGTGGCAGTGCCCCTAAGATATTTGCGGTTTAAAGCTCTGAGTGGCGCTGCAACTGTTATGGATAAGCTTACTGATCGAGAAAGTAGACGAATAGTAAAAGTGGACCGATCTGGAAAATCGCAAATAGACGAATCGGGAAAGTGGACCATTTGGACAAATGGACCGATCGGGAAAGTAGATGAACAGTGAAAGTGGACCGGTCGGGAGAATGGACCGATAGTACCGAAGGAACGTTTCGCGTACCACCAGGCGCCCGACTTGTTCGTTCGGTCACTTAGACTTATAAAAAAAATAAGGAATTACCATTTTTAATGAAAGAAGACTACATTTTCAAAATGGCTGCTTTTCAGAAGATGCTTATTATCATTATTTTATTTTATTATTTTATATTATATTAGTCGATAATTTTTTATGCTTAAATACGAGAGTTATAAAATTTCACACATATATAATTTGTTTCATCTAATTCGTGTTTTTTTAAGACTATCATGACTGTGTTAGAAGCAATTTTAATGTATAATTACAAAGCCACATCTTTATTATACCAAGGGTACAAACTTATTATTCTTATTCCATGGCCGTGGCTTTTTTAGTTAATAAAAAAAAATTGTTTGTTATTGAAATATTAGCGCAAAGTTAAGTATTTTTTTAATTATATACGTTTTGACTATGGGTCATTCTAAAACCATTTTATATTTGAACGGGAAATTGACAAACTACAACCAACGATATTAAAACGGTTCTATATCGTGTATTGAGTCATAGACTTTGATCCCCTGCTATAGGATTAACTTTATTGTTATAGAGTAAAAGTAACAAAGAACAAAACAAAGGTTACAAGTATCAAGCTGTGGAATTCCCTGCCTGAATCGATTAGACGCGCTGAAGTCTGTTGAGTTTTTCACAACTTTACACAAAGCTCATTATCTTATACTCTAATTATTAATTAGTCTTTTCACATTTTCATCTATACTTACCTGTTCTAAATTTTGCGTGTTGTTATTATTATTATGTTTTATATAATCCTACTTCAATTTAAGTATAATATACTCCCGGACACATAATTCGAGCCACCTCGCATGTTTGTCTTAAAAGGCTAGAATACAAAAATAGTGTTATCATAGAAGAAAAACTTTTCCCCCGGTTTTGCAAATCCAAATTCCCAACAAGAACTTATGGAAAAGACGTTTAGTATACTAGTTTCAAAATTGCATAATAGTTTTTTATCAATCAAACATTGTTTAAGCTTTGGGCACTTAATACTGACAATGCGTAGTGGCTCGAATTATTTGTCCGGAACTGTATATATATTACTTCTTGTTTCTTATTTTTTTATTTGCGTGTCTTAACTGTCAACTAATTTTATCTTACAGTTTTTCCTGTGACCGAAAGGTTGCCTGGAAGATATTGCTATTTAGAAACAATGCCGCCTGTTGCACTTGTCTTTTTTTGTATTATTACGTATTTGTCCCGTTTTTTTTGTATTATGTATTTATCCTACTGTGCAATAAAGAATATTTGTATTATATTTAAAGAACGAGATATATTATCAACGACATCATAATAAAATAGTGTTATTAGCATTATACTCGTTTTTAAGTTTAATATCCGTTCTATTTAGTAGAGTGCCATTGCATGAAAATTCCAACGATACAATGCAGTAGTGAGATTGTTTTTGTGTACTTATAAAGATGTATTCCATCACCCCAACTGCATAAGTTTTTATCAACGTCGCTCGCTTTATCTTACGTGGAAGTTTTATCTGCAAACAAAGAGCCGAGTTGTTGGGATAAAAAGCCAGAAGTTTGGAAGTCGAATTCTCGATTGACAGTTCACATGGAGGTACGGTTTGTATGCAAAATGGACTACATTTTCGAATGTCAATTGCCGCCTATACATATACGTATAGCACGACGTACATTTACCTACATATATTATACATTCAATTCTGTTATTTCTCACAAGCATCAATGGCAAGACTAAAGACAGGATTAGAGTGACAACATATTCTGAATTAAAGTACCTACCAACATTCGTATAGTCAAGAGCACATCAAGCTTGACACTTTGTACTTTCGACCGTTCTTAGCCTAAGCGAATAGAGTTGAATTTAAGTCTTAAGTGTCAAGCTTGACGTGCTCTTGACCCTATAAAATAATTTTATAATTTAGTAGCAGTAGAGCTCCTTGCGAAAGAGTTCGTCCAGAGAAGTTCTACCACCTTACCTATTTCTGCTGCCAAGCAGTAATGTGAGCATTAATACTGCGTTCCTGTTTGTAAGGGTAAGGCTGCTGGAAATTACGGGCACATGGGACTTGTCAATTTCAGTTTCAGGGTGACAGGCGCAATGGCAGTGCCCCTAAAACCTTTGCGATTTAAAGCTCTGAGTAGCACTGCAACTGTTATTGATAGGCGTGTCGCTTATAAACAAACGCACAACTTGTTCGTCCCCTCACTTGGTATTCTACAAAAATATTAATAAATTGGTAAACGGGGATAAGCATTTTTAATTTAGCACATTTACGTATTCAAATTAAAGTCTGTTTTAAAACCTGCTAAGTACTCAATATCATCGCAACTGTACAGGGTCAAGAGCACATCAATTATTACACTTGAGATTAAAATTCAACTTTATACCATTTAGGATAAGAACAATCCGTGTTCCAAAGCCTCAAACTTGATGCGTGCTTGACTGTACTTACTCGTATGTCTCGGCAACTTAACCCCTTAATAACAAATTCGTTACATGTTTTCGGTAAATATGCAATGAAATAGACGTATGTCTTCGTCCAAGGCTCTGTATGTAAATACTTGCAGATTTGGTGATGGCTTCGGTGGACCGCTATTCTGTTCAGTTTAACATAAACAATTTCATATTTACAATTTTTTTTCTTGTGAACGTAAACGAAATTGTTTAGGTTTCGAGATTTTGTTTTTATTTTATTAAGTTTCAGGGATTTAAAGATAACGGAAATTGTTAGTAAATTTACAAGAGATTGCAATAAAAATGGAAGTGTTTGTTTTACTTTGTTTTGTTATGTTTACAAAACTTGTAATTCGTAGCTTAATGTAATAAGGCCATTCTGCAAAGTCACAACTTCTCAGGTTTATAGATTTTACGAACGATATTAGCCGATAACTTTCATATACTAAAATAGGAGATTTACAAAATTTCATTTTTTGTGATACTATGTGCAGGGACGAATAAGTCGTGCGCCTCGTGTAGTGCCGGTCGGAGCTTTAAATCATAAAGATCTGTGACACACTGCCACTGCGCCCGTCTCTCTGAGACATAAGTTGTCAAGTCTCAGTAATGTGCCTGTAATTTCACTAGCACTTTTACTCTTCAGAACCGGAACGTAGTAATTCTTGCATTGCTGCTTGACGGTAGAAATAGGCAAGGTGCCAGTACTTCCCTGGACGAACTCTTTCACAAGAAGCGCTACCGCTACTAAACATATTTAAGAACAACCAAAGATACCGGAAATTATAAGTAAATGTAGAAGAATCTGCGAAGAAAAACTATGTATTTGTTTGAAGAGATTTGTAATTCGCACTCTTGGTGTAATAAGGCCAATTCTGCAAAGTGACAACTTTTCAGGCGAAATTAGCCGATGGCTTTTATGGTTAAATAGGAGAGTTATAAAATGTAACATACATTATTTGTTTCATGTGTACGTATTATTTTTATGACTTTCATGTGTGAGTTGCAATTACAATTGCACATGCAATTTAAACTGTTTCAAATAACTATAAGGTATATAAATAGTTGAATATTGATTATGTTCACCTCATCACCTCATATCAAATTTGTACAGAACCGGGCAATCCAGGCGAACGTTAATATTTTTAAAGCCCTCAGTTTCGAAGTGATCTAAAATAAATGTAATAGCCATGCTAATGGCAATCCAAGTGCCAAGCAATAAATTATTTACACTGCCGCCGGTCTCGACTTCATTTTTTATTAAAGTATTAAAAGTTTTATCAAAATTGTCTAATAAAATTCGAAGTATGATCCTATTTTCATATATATTTAAAGCTCAAAATATTTCGTTTTTCCGACATCTCAGCATCAGGCTAGGAAATACATTAAATTGATTTCCTTTCATCCATAATGAAAATTTACTTAACGCGTCCCTTTGAGATAATAGGATTTACGAAAATTTTCTATAACCGCACATGTTCGACTAATGCTTCCAACATTGAGATTAATGAAACATTCCAGGTTTACGTGGATTTAAGTATTTTGAACAAGGATTAATATTCCATCACGCTTTGACTACGAGTGATGAGGAAACTACGCACAAAGCCGACATGGAAAGGGTATTAAACAGTGCCTCGGATAAATCGCCCAATAAGTTATGTAAAGTGCGGGTGCATCGCGTTACTACAACCCCTACATGTCAGTCGGGACTGGGCGCATGCGCGTGCATCGTCGGCCGCGCACGGCATATGCGGAATATTAAAGGAGGAAAGAGAAAAAAATTAACTTGTGAAGCCATTTTCGTCTATCGGCGGCCCCCTCCGCCACAGGGCTTCTCGGGTGCAGGCAAGCCAGAGTGGCTCGCGGTGTCGCGACGGATGAACGCCGGCTCTACGTTCGTCTTCGCGCGATCCGGCACTTCGCCAACCGGTCCGGTCGGTCTATGTGATTACACGTTATGCGACCAATAATTGTGTAGTGTTATCCGGACCACTAAAAGCCTTTCAGAATCGTGAACCTAGTGCTTCGCTATCGAATATACGGACTAAGTTCTAAAGTTAAGTGCGTTCTCAAATACATTTTTGTGAAGTGCAAGTTTATTTGAGAAGTTTCTATTACTACTCAGTGTTTTGTATTTGTTAGTGACAGAGGGAGTTTACACGAAATTTCGTGATTTGACGTATCGAGTCCAGTTTGCTTTTGATGACAAGTTCTTAAGTGGAAGTTTGAAATAACTCATTTACGTTCAAACTTTACTTCGTCAAGTATTTCAAGTGTTGGAGTTTTAGAAACCGAAGCTATATTGTATGACTGCAGTTTTACAGGTAAAATGCTGTTCTCTCTTTTTATTTTTATTTTTTGTCATTTACTTATATAATTTTCTTTGATTAACAAAACACTTTGCAGGAGTTTTGTATGGGGGCTTCGCGCAACTTTTTTACTTTTTATGCGCTCTTTTATGGTGTGTTTGAGGAAAATTGCAATTTTTGCGCAAGAATTCTCCCGATACCTCTTCATTTTCGTTCGCATCCCTTTTATCATTTCCTCTCGGAGAAAGAATTGAATAAATATTAGTTTTGTCTCATTTTGCATGTTAGTTAACAGTTTTGTTTTAGGTATTTATTTAGTTATAGGAATGTTTCACTAGCCCGACTAATTAGTCTAATGTTGAATTTAACTTAAACATATTCTGTAAAGTTTAGAGAGTAGAGTTTTTTAAATAATAATAATATTAAGAGTGTTGTTATTGTTCAAGTATTTTCACCTACCACTTTTTCAGCTGTCTTAAACTACACAAAGAATGCTTGTTCCGATCTAAATTAACTAAGGATCGTAAATTAAATCTTACCGTCGTACAAATAAGCATCATTTAAAGTAAAGATTTTAAAATGTAAAGACATAGGGAGCAAGAATTTATACGGGGAAGCCAGTGAACTTTACAATAACTTCTCTGTATGAATGAACTCGAGAATTTTTTAATGGAATTTTGAGGATATTGTAAATCATATCTTTTATTTATGAAGTAATAACTTTAAGAGAGAGTGCACTCTAAAATAGACAACTAATAAAAAAAATCCATATTCCCTCAATAAATTATCGGAAGACGTTCTTTTTATTGGAGTAACGAATGGTAAGATGAGTAATGGCGCAACTTTTACCGATAAATCATGCTTTCCCTGACTGAGAGGAGCTTCCGACGTTGGGGTAGTATTTGGCAGAGCCCCTCTATTTGTTAGTTTAGTCTGATACACTTTACTATAGTCTGCAGCCAATGGTGCAGATAAAACGTACATTAACCAAACGTTCGGGGAGGCTAGAATTTAATGTGCAAGTATATTTGGAAACGTGCCCTTAATATAAAGTCTCGAATATTGGAGAACTATTAGGTAATGGAAACGATACTATTAATTAGATACGTTACCCGATCCAACCGGATGTGTAGGGAAGCAGACGCCAAGGGTGGAGGAAAACGAAGCGAATAATTGGAGAACGTCGGCATGAGCTCGTCGGCACCTCGTCAAGAAAATGGACGTGCTAAATAGACCAACAGTTGATGGTCCGTGAAACGACGTGTCGAGTGAATCCAATACCATTTGATGAACTATTGTTTAGGAATGTTGCGCTGGGCGGAGGCGAATTTGCCTCACTCTTGGATTTTGTATAGGCGATGGATCCGAGCGGGATTTAGGAAATCTATCTCTAAGCCTCCTATTCAATTAAACGTTCATTCAATAGAGGTTGCGCTTCAGTTATTGATCTATCTTGCCTTTCATCTTAACGTGATCGCTAATAATCACTTATTAGGGATCGCATTCTATGCGGATGATTTAATTTTAGAAGTACTTAATTGTTGTTGTTGAGTATGAAGTGATCAAAAATAGGCGCGTTTGTAGCTTTCGACTAGTTATCCCTTTGAATTGTACAGTCTTTGTGGCCTTTGTACTTTCAGTCGATTTGTATCTTCAGGAAATTTCCGATTCGATTACAAAGAGATCCTCATAAAAAGGGGTTAAGGAAATCGGACGATCGAATATCAGAAATCATAGATATAGTAATAAAAAAGGGGTTCCCACGTTGGCGGAAGCCGACACTGGATCGCCACGCTTCGGTACTTTGCTCTTTCGCCATTGTCCCTTTTGTCCCTACTTAGCTTCGTCAAGCCCTCAAAAGAGCGGCTCTTTATTTCACGGATCTAGTTTGCCGCACTTAATTCGTATTGCATCATTCGTTCCACACCATTTTTTTTTTTGCTTTTCATCGATCGCTCCGATAGCTCCCTTAGTGTCGAGCTGAGCAAGTGCCGTCAATATTGCTGCATCATGGTTTTATGATATTTTTATGTTTTGTTATCATCGGTGCTGTGCGCTTGAAGATCAATATCCAAAACCGTCCTGCAATTGTGCAAGCTGCGCGTTTTACAGTTACGTTAATTTTATGTTATGAGTTAGTTTCTCGCAACTACATGTTGCTTATTTAAATGTACCTATTAATTACCTTGTTCGTCATAGCTCATGGCCTCGTACGAGCCGTAACGGAGTTCAAGAACGCGCGAACCTGAATCGCTAGTGAAATTTGCATTCCCGCTTTGCTTCAACAGCTAGTATCGTCTAGGACCACCCGCGTAGAACCAGTCATCGATTTAATACCAACTTTATTACGGGGAGACAGGATTTGAAATCACTATACTCGAATGTACCAACACTGATCGTTTCACTTGCAATAAGGCGCTCTACAATCTACTCGCGTCTACTGCACGAGTTTCAATATGCGAGAACATATTATTGGTTCTTGAGATGCGCATGTTGTCTACAACAACTCTACAGATACCGTAGCAAAAAGCAGACAAATAAAGCAAAACAGCTTTAATTTGCGGGAAAAAGTTCCGACATAAATAGATACTGTGCAGCGGATTTTTTTAATCTTCGCCCGGCATCTCAAATAATACAGCTGCAGCATTCGAATCTCATTAGCAAGGGAAACAAGAGAAAAAACCTCGGTGTAATAAATTTTGGCAAGGCCCAAGTCGAAACGTTTACGGTTTCTTTTAATTTGGTTGCTATTGTCGAAGCGTCCTGCTGAGTGCCACCCGTTGGATTTCTTACGAGAATTCCAGCTGCTTTGCTTAATTTTTATTTGTTGATTAAATAAGGAACATTGAGTTCCTTGTTTATGGACTAAAAGTAATCAATTTCATTCGTAACAATTGAAGTAAAATTAAACGTGTATATGAAATATATGCTTACATCGACGCGATATTAATAATAATCCTACCAAGCTGGCAGACTTGGCCACTTAAGGTGCTAATAAAATATAAAAATATAAATCGGCAGATGCACAAAGAGCGGTCCTAAGATATCATAAATCAAAGTGGTTTTTATGGATGCACGAAGGATCCAATAGCTACCTATGGCAATCGACAGATTTCGAAGAAGCTGTGTTTATTTTAAATGATTCTAGTTATTCTGAAGACGCAGGCGGACACAGGCAGGATGAAGGCAAATGTTCGATGGATGACATAGCACTTTTATGCCGCCCTACGTGTAGGATCCGGACTTGTGTTTTCTGATAAAATTAAAGTAGCCCGAGTATCGATTGCAGCGACAAACTTGTTTGAATGTTAGGAGAAACTGTGTAACATCAATAATTTAGGTATTAAAAACTGCATATTAGGCATTTTACGTTGAGACAACATTGTGAGTGACAAATAATAAAACCAGTAATTGTTATCAAAGACATTGAAATGGATTTTACCTTCATTATTTCGGCAAGCGTCACTAAAAATTTTATGACCAATCCTGACACGTGTTTCGCGACGAGTCAAGACCAACTGCGAACCATCTGTGGAGAGTAGAACGTGCCGTTTTGAGCCCACATTAAAATTCCCACACATAAAATCGAAGGAAAAAAGGTTCTATGCCCCACGGCCTCTTTTCTACTCACAACAAACAAGCAGGTAAGCGAATCTTTACGATCCCTACAAAATAAAATATGCGCAATCCGTTGAGGGATTTTACATCTTATTACTGCACAGCAGAGAACAAGTTTATAATAATAAAATTTCTGAACAGCTCTTTTACCATGTTTTGGGGAGTACAAAACTTTGTTTTCTTTTGTGTCTTCGGACAAATTTGGGTGCTATTTCTTTAGCGAAAAGGTCGGCTTTACAGTTGATACAATTGACATTCTTATTACATCGGGTGCCTAAAGTTTGCGGTTGCAACCCTTTATTGCTTGCATTACGTTATACAATTTACTTCCTGGTTTTGATTTCATTAAATAGTCTAATGAAAATGTATGAGCGATGAGCATCCGCTTTTAAATGGGTTTTGGAGAATGCATAATCAATTTTCTACAATACCCTTAAGCAATCTCTTAGCGTAAATACACTCACATGAATACAAAGGGAGAAGAATATAAGCCGTGGAAGAGAAAAGTGTAACAAAAAGAATAGTGTGGGTTATAAACATGACGAATCGCTTTCAATTTGAGGCGTATATCAATGTCAATAACAGAGTGTTCGTGACTGGATTTCGGCTAATCATTGAAGGGTTCAAACCGGCTGTGACAGCATATGCTTACATTCCATCGCTATGGGTTCTCAAACAGTCGTCTGGAGGCGGCGGCGGAGGAACAATCAAAACAGAGGCCAAGTGTGAAACTGTCATGTAGTCGTGACAAATGTATGAGCATTGAGTATGTGAAACGTAAGAATAGACGGAACGATTATCAGAATTAATGTCGATAAATCAATATTTGTTAGGCTGGTGTGAATTAGACGTTCCTGTCATATGCCTTGGGATATTATGTGAATGGCCGTTGAATAATGATGAGCTGTGACCAATGGTTTGGTGTAGGTATCTTTTGAAATAAACATAGATGAATTTTAGATGCCCTTTGAACGAATGCTCATTTACAATTTAGTTTTTGTAAGTAAATGCTAAATTATTAATTCACAGCATGGAAGTTAATTTACATATTATTATGCAGGTTTTAAGTACCTACCATGGATATTTTTCCTATATCTTACCACAAATGTTTTTATTAGTGTTGCAACGCAAGTGTTAATAGTATATTCGGCCTCAGGTCGAATACCGAATGTATGGACAGGAACGTAGCCTAATATTCGTCTAAACTTTTCCTGATTAACGCACTTACGAAATTTGCCAAGAAAAATACCACTTTGGTCATAAAAATATGATAAATAATTTTATTTTTAACAATGAAACAAAAAGGTAACTTTAGTTTTCGAGCTTATAATTAAAGTAATTAAATAATTCACTTCAGTTTAAATAACAAATATAACGTGTTTAGTTGATTTTAATAG